GCCCTGCAGACCTTTGTGCAGGGTAAGCCTCCAGTTCTGTGCCGCGGAGCACTAACTCCGTCACTGTGGCTTGCTTGGCTCCCTCTGCCTGGTCTTCCCAGACAACAATATCCCTTAGCCAGCCCTCACTTCTCACCGTGTCTGAGTCTGCTGCACTTCTCTCCTGCTCACTGGCCCCGTACGGTGGCCTGCCCATGATCTTGGCCCTTTAGCTTTTCTAGTCTCCCTGTCCACCTTCTGCAACCCGAAACACTGTAGCTCAACTCCAGACTCCAGGCCAACCCCCAAGGCACATCCCACCCTGGCTGCACCCCAGTCTTCATTCATGGCCCTGTGGTCGATTCCCACACAGGGACGTTGACCCAAGGTCATTGCTTTTGCTTGATCCTTTATCTTGGTGATAAAATCAGCTCAGCAAGCTTCAGTAAGTCACCCACCCCCTTCTTCCACGCTCCTCATAGCCAACTGCTGTCCCTGCTGTGTGAGTCACACTTACTCATGATCTAATGGTTCCATCACCACCTGGGCTTCAGGCCAGCCCAGGACTCCTTGCAAAGCTATGTACAAAACAAATTTTATAGCAGGAGGAAATCCCTTCATTCTATGACCATCTAGAGGCTTGTGGTATTAGTATACATACTGCTAAAGGGGTGTGTGTGTGTGTGTGTGTGTGTGTGTGTGTTCTTGCTTAGGTTTTGAATTGTAATATAGAGGACGATCAATGGTACAGAATCCATGGATTTACAGTCACACAGATTTGTTTTTGAATTCCAGGATCTACCATTTCCTCTGTAGATGCCCTTAAGATCATTGTTGCCCAATTTGCCCCTATTAAAAAAAAAAAAAAAATGAGAAGTAGGCATGGTGTTACATGCCTGTAAACTGGCACTTGGGAGGCTCAGGTAGGAGGATCACTGAGAGTTCGAGGCCAGCCAGACTACAAAGACCACAGAGACAGAGACAGAGACAGAGACAGAGACAGAGACAGAGACAGAGACAGAGACAGAGAGACAGACAGACAGACAGACAGACAGACCGACCAACTGACCACTGTAACTAGTCTCCCATAAATCCTAAGGGAAATAAATGTTCATAAAATGTTTAGGATACCATGCTGACCTCTAGTAAGCATTTAAAAACAAGTAGTTATCATTCTCCACAAATATAACAGGGTGCTAATCACTGCTCTGCAACTTTTTTCACACAATAATAATATGCTATCTTTAGATGAAATGAACTTGTGCGTTCCCATGTCTAGAGAGAGAACATGACGTACTCAGCTGACCCCTGCCTTTTGGCTCATGTCTCACCTGAGCCAGTGTAAACAGAAAAGTATAAAAACAAGGCATAAAAAGTAAAGTCATATTAATATGCTGAGCTGTAAAAGGCTCAAGTCAACAACTTCGGACATTGCCAGTCCTATGGATAACCCACTACTATTATGGACTACTGGACTATATTGGATTATTTTGCTGAATTCACACACCTACTATACTTAAATGGCAATGGAATACCCTTCTCTGACAAAACAAAAAAAGGGGATACAAATGAAGGACCATTCTGTATCTGTATATGCAAAATAGTTAGGATAGATATACAGCTACTTTCTATTAATTCAATGAGAAGAAAGATCTGTACTAATAGTGTTTGGACAGGATATCATGTCTGTATCTTGTACTATGAATAACCCCTATGAGGACAACAATATACAATGTACTAATTAATTTATTTTTTTGGTGGAACCCAGGATTGAACTCAGGCCCTTGCGCTTGCCAGGGTAGCGCTTATTCCACTGAGCCATCTCCCCAGCCCACAATGTATTAATTATTGAAACTGTCCTACTAATCGGTTTTGAAACTGTCTCATTGCTATTTGTTTCTCAATAAAATTAATAAAAAAGAAAGAAACTGGCAGTGAAAGTCCAATGAAGAGCACAGTCTTCAGGCCTGTGCCCCAGTCTACACGAGGTCTCTGAAGCGGGTCCACGCCATCTACCCTCCCCCACGCCCATGGGGACTACCGGGCAAGTCTTTTCAGTCTTCCTCCACCTGCCAGCATCTTGAATGCTCTAAAGCGCAGACACACTCAGGGCGCCGGACCCTCCGGTGACTTCGGGAAGCCTGGCTCCCCTGAAGCCTGGTTTCCCTGACCCCGCCTCTCTGGACCTCACCAGCCATCCGTGCAGCCGACTTTCCCTCCAAACACCCCCACTTTGGTGTCTGATGGGCACCTCACACTAAACAGCCCCCAAACTGCAATCGTGACCTTTCCTACCCAACTCCAATCTGCCAATTTCTATTTGACTTCTTCTCTTACAACTCATGTCATTTCCAGCAAGAAGTCTCAATGGTTAACTTAAAAAAAAATAAAAATAAAAATCCCAAACCCAATTACTTATCGCTCTGCTGGATGGCAAGCACTTTCCAGGCAGCTTCCCTATTTCTGCCTCTGCTCCCCTGCAGTTGACTTGTGACGTGGCAGCTCACAGGCTCATTTTAAAATAATATAGGTTTAGGGGCCGGGGAGGTGGCTAAGTAGAATAAGCGCTTCCCTGGCAAGCGCAAGGGCCTGAGTTCAATCCCCGGTTCTGCAAAATAAATAAATAAATAAATAAATAAATAAATAATAATAATAATACAGGTTTTCAGCCTTTCCTCGACGCCTGGCAGTGACTCCATGACCCCAGAGAGAATCCAGACTCCCGAGGTTGGTGTCCACAGCCCTGCAGGCTTTGTCCTTTGGCTCGGCTGACTTGGTTCACCTTTGACGCCCGCTGCTGGTTTCGATCCAGCCCATTCACTCCTTATGAAGCCTCTAAAAGCCCATGCCATTTCCTGCCTCAAGGCTTTTACAAGACACTTTCCTCAGCCAGGAGGAGCTTCCTGCTACAAGTGCAGCTGGGCTTTCTGACCTCCTGCATGCCTGCCCCCAGGAGAAGGGCCCAGACTGTCCAACTCAACACCACGAGCACGTGCACTCCGATCTGTTTTTATTACTTTTAGAGCATGCCCACGTGCTAGCACACTATAAAATGTGATCTTTATATTTAAAGAACTTAAACTCTACAGGAGTAGGGCCCCTTTTCTGTTTCGTTCAATGAATATTTGACCAGATGCAACTCAGATCTGAGCCATTGTGACGCTGCACTTACATTAAGCAGGCACTCTGCTGCGGGGGGACACGGGACGCCCCACAGCCGCTGTCACATGCGATGGGAAGCCAAGCTTTTGAATGCAATCTCTTAGCTTTAAAATTCTGGCAAGTGATGGAGACATACAAAAGATAATTCTATCACACTTAGGGACCACATATCAATGGTATTTGGATTTATCATGCACACTTGTTGCTGGTGACATTTCTGTGTGAATATTTTTCTCTTTAATAAAATGATGTCAATTGAACAATAAATTTGGAAAACTGACAAAAACGATTCAGGGCAAATGAGAGGTCAGACGGGCTCCCCACGGGCTGTGACGCACCCTGGGTTGGACCTCCGCTTCCAAGGTAACAGCCACGAGTCTACGATGTCTCAGCTTGAATCCCTGGACCAGGGCCCCCGGCGCACCTTCCTGTTCTGTGGCCCACTGCTGTCTGGGCTGAGCTTTCCCTCGCATACTGCCTGAGCGCTGAGCTACATCCTAAAGGGTGTGCACCCACTTCTGGCTTCACCCACTGCATCCCCACTCCAGGGCTGGGGCTTGACATGGGGCTTTAGCAGCATCTCCTTCAGTGAAGAACCTAATTGCACAGCAAGGAAACCAAAGTATGTGCAAAACCCTGAGACTGAAATTCAAGGCCTGATCATACAGCTTTTAAACAGGGTAGAGCGAATTCTCAGCCCAACTCATGTCCAAGTAGCTCAAAATGCAATCTAAAGAAGCCCAATACTGCTGTTCCATAAGTGAATTACTTAAATATTCCATCTATAGAATGTAACTTTTTAATTTTTGCTAAGATTTTTTTTTAAAGCACAACCATTATTTATTGCAAGGAGATGCGGGGCCTCAGGCTAGCATGGATAAGCCTCAGAAAGAGATAGGGCTATGAACTCACAGGTTTACATGACTAGACAGGGCTACAGAACAAAAGAAAGCCTTACATTTGCAGTGATGTTACATATGACAGAGTTTTCTAAAATCAAAGAAAAAATTCTAGTCCTTTCTAAAACAATATAAACATTATTCATAATTTCCTTTCATAATTCATACTTTTTAAAAACAAGATATTTGTCATGCCAAAAAAATCATCATGTTTTAAAAGAGAGCTATAAGTTCATTTAGATGGAAAACATTTTTTTCTAGAATTACTGGCTGCCTCAGAAGGCCAAAGCAGAAAAATCAAAGGCCAGCAATTGCATTTCCACGGTATTCCACTAGATGGTAGCATGCAACTGGACAACCCGCACCGTGCGCGAGGGGTGTATTCGCTTGGCTGGAACAATAGAAGCCCTTTCATCTGCAATCTTCCGCTAGGGCTTTGCTAACTCAATTCGCAAATACCCTTTCATGTATATTTCCCTTTAGTAAACCCAGTTCTTAATATATCCTTATGGCAGCTCATAAGTACTTATCATTGGACAGTGCATTTTGAAGCATCTTAATTTTCTTCTCTGCAACGTTAACTCCCCAAATTCTTCTGATCACACTGAAAATCTGCAAATACTCACTGAACCCCAATGTACCTATGTCCAGCACAAACATGAGCCTGCTTACCTTGCTGGGTTATTTCTCCTCATAGTACAGATAAAAAGGCCCATTGCACTCTCTCTACGAGATACAGTCAGCGGGGCCGTAGAGTGTGAGTTCTGCCTTGTTCTGTTATATTCCTTTGTTCCCCGTGAACAAACCACGGGCGGAGGCGCCCACCCCTGCCCACCCGTCGACACCGAGCACTCCTAGTGCTGAAGTGTAGGTGCAGACCCAGTGCCTAGCCTGAGTACGCGGAAGGAATGCTCATGGAAACAGTATGGAAATCAACCTGCATCTTGCAGATTTCCTTACGTCATTTGTATTCTTCTCTTGCTTTTCGTATTTTTCTCGATCATAAGCCATTTTCTTCAGCAGTTTCTTCATGGGCTTTTTATCCTTCTTATGACTTTCAGCGTTTTGCTTCCTCACTTGGTTGACAATAAACTTGGGAATCTACAGAGAAAAGAAATGAAGTTTGGGAAGGAAAGGACAAGGCATTGTTTCGAACCATCAGAAGGAATTTTGAAATTTGGAGCAGAAAAAGGCTCTCCTTGATAAAATGGTGCCATCTCACAAACAGGATTCAGGAAGTCTCATGACATACGTGACGGAGCGTGTACTCAGAGCAGCGTGCCACCATCCTGGAAGCCTTTGCAAGCAGCCTTGTAGGACTTGAGGACCTCAAGACCTCTTCTGTGCTGCACATGTCAAGAGTGGAGGCTCCACACAGAGGCTGCAGAGGCCACCACGTGGGCAGGCTGTCCCTTTGGTGGCCCCCTCTGTGCAGCCCTAGAGCTACCTATTGTCCCTTTCAGATATAATCAGCCAGGCTCTAGTGTCAGAGGAGAAAGAAAACTACCACCAATGGCCAAGAGCCGACAACCAACTAAGTGTGATCATGTAGGAAAGTCTAGTCTCAGAAACCATACTGAAACAACCAAATACCTTGCTATCAAGAATGTAAATTAAATCATGTATGCGTGTTAAAAATAAGACATTAATTTTAAAAGCATTTGAATTCACCTACACATCAGATGCCTTTTCTGACATATAAAATAAAAATTTCAAGGAAAAATTTATAGCTTTAGTATTTAGATATACCATCACTCTGTCTTAAATTAACACCTTGGGGTTCTTCAAATAAGAGACTGAATATTCAATATTGTAATTTTCTTAGAATTTTATTAGTTCATTTGTGTAAATGCCTCTCTCACACAAATTATAAATTTTGCTGGAAAACGAGACCTTAATCAACGAAGCCTCTCATCTACCATTATGTTCTGATTATCTGTCAAAACTCAAGCTCAAAATAAGCTTAAAAATGGAAGGCATTCTCCAGACTTTCTCAGCAATGAGGGCTCAAAATGTATATAAGCTAGTAAAAGGCCACTGAAGAAAAGTGGTGAAAGATCTGAGGCCACGACAGCATCAACTTTTAAAAAGACAACAGGTATCCCGCATAGTAGTACACACCCGTAATACCAGCACTGGGGAGGCTGAGGCAGGAGGACCATTATCCGCTCTAGGTTAGCCTGGGCTGCATAGTGAGTTCAAGCCAGCCTGAACTATACAGCAAGATCCCATCTCAAAAAATGAAAAATGATAATAAAAAAAGACAACAGACATGAATACCAGGAAATAAAAGGAAAATGCTCAAAAGGAAAAGCAAACGCCAAACAAAGGAAAATGTTGATTTGTGATTTTTAAAATAGAAATTCAAAAGGCTCTCCTTACCTATACAAAATTCTTTAATATTTGCTACACTCGCAAATTATATGTGTACTTTCACAAGGCTACAATACGTTTTTAAACCATTAAGAGAAAAAAGCGTAGGGCTGGCGAGACAGCTCAGGGCTGGGGAGATAGCTCAGTAGAATAAGCACTTGCCTGGCAAGCACAAGGTCATGAGTTCAATCCCCAGTACCGGAGGAAAAAAAAAAAGAAAGAAAAAAGTGTATTACACTTTTAATATCAACTTTATAAAATTATGCTCACAACTGCTATGATTATGCTAGAAAATGGTGTGGTCTTGAATCAAATTTAGGGATATATATATATATATATATATACACACACACACACACACATACTTACTGTCCATAGAAGTTTCTGATACTTAATCAATAAGTGCATGATATTTGCTGTCCCAGCTGCCATTACAAATTCTCGCTGCTCTCCAGACTTCAAACCCAAGGTGTGACACATGAAGAGGTTTGGGGCCATGACCATCGCGACATTCATGACTGTCATCTTATTTTGCTCTTTCTTATCTATGACCCTTTGAAGAAATTCAAGCAGGGCCTGAAAAAGAAATGACTCTGAGATTCGTGTCAGATACAGAGACGTGAGATTCAAGTTCAATGGCTTACAGGATGTTGGTGTCATCTAAAAACTAACAGGCACGAGCACGGTGGTTAGCCATGTGCGTCCATCCAAGTGTCTCCATACCAGCCTGAGATACAGGCGCTGAGCCACAAGGGAGTGAGGCGCCCTCCAGATGGAGGCATCGAGAGGCGTGGAGGGGGCGCTGGCATCTCAGCCTGCGGACAGCACAACACACTCAGAGGTAGTTACTGGTTTCTGGAACTTCTATGGTTTTTCTACAGGTTAAAAATAAAAATGATGTCCTTAAAGGGGCTCATTTGACCTCAGTTTCCTTGTTTTAGGAGCTCAGCAGCTGGCTGGCAGGGGACCTAAAAGAAGGAAGACAGTCATGGGGAGGGAGAGAAAAGAGAGATCAAAGAGAAGAGTAATGAATGAATGCATGAATGAGTGCGTGCATGCATGCATGCATGGATGGATAGATGGACGGACAGATGGATGGATGGATGGACGGACGGACAAACGAACGAACGGACGGATGGACGGATGGACGAATGGACGAATGGACAAATGGACGAATGGATGGATGGACGGATGGATGGATGGACAAATGAACAGACCGACGGACGGACGGACGGACGGACGGACGGACGGACGGATGACCGAGCGAGGAACAGAGTGCTTCTCACCAGAACATGCTAATCATGCTCAGCTTGGCGCTACCCACGTCCACCTCTAGGGCAGACTCCCCTGGTCCTCCGAGCCTGTCCTCATCACACTGGAGGTCTACACTGACAGGCCCCAGTTCTTCTTTTGCCTTCCTATTTTTGTCTAGAACTCTAGCGTAGGTACTTAATGTTCCCTCGGGGTGAGGCTGTGCTTTAAACACCTCTTAGAGGTCATCTCACTTAGCCCTTACAGAAGGCAGACGCTGCCATTATCTCTGTTTTACAGATGAAGAAAGAATTCTAGGGGGCATTAGTTCACTCACTGAAGCCACAGGACGTGCACATGGTGGAGAAGGGATGTAACTGCAGATATACGTGGCTTTTGTTTCTGAGCTTTTTTTTTTTTTTTTAATTTATGTATTTGGTACAGGGTCTCGCTACACAGCTGGGACTCATAGTGATGCTCTTGTCCCAGCCTCCCCAGTGCTGGGATTACAGCCGTGCACCACCATGCCCAGCTTCAGGGCCGGCGCTGTATGGGACCAGCATGGCATGTGGTACTGGGGATCAAACGCGGGTCTTGCTCTTGCCAGGCGGGTACAGCTATCTCCCCAGCCCTGTTTCCAAGTGCTTAATTGCTAAAAGAATGCTTCATAGTTAGCCTAACATCACTACTCAAAAGTATAAGTATACTATATAAAAATGTGAAAGAGGGGAAAAAAATCTGTCCTCCACATGAATTCAGAGTTAAAAAAAGAATTTCCTCTGAATGCTCACAGGTTGATCTTTAATCAAGTTTACCTGCTCACTAGATGTTGAAAATATAAAACCGACACTGAACTTTACTATCTAACAAGATTTTCGTACCTACTTTCTGATGAAGTGCTCAGAAAGTGAAATTATAATCCATGCATCATGCTACATACAGACACAAGTTTGCCAATGAAGACAAAAGACTAACTGAAGTTTGAAAATTATTTAATTTTAAAAATTAATTTTGTTCCAAAAAGACCAGAATAGTTGTCCAGGGACCAGTGCACCGCTTTCTTTATGAGCATAAATTTCAGAAATGAAGTAATTATTTTAATTGTGGTGTGCGTAAACAATAACAGTGTTCAAAATATTACCATCAGAATACTAGAAAAAGAGGGAGGGAAAGCAGGGGTGGGAGGAAGAAGGAAAGCAAGAGATAAAGGAGGGCAGAGATATGAAATTAGGAAGAGATTAGTCTTGATCTTGTTGAAAACCCTGCATACAGGATAAATCCTGAGGGTACTTGACTGACCTTGTCAGATACAAAGTTACATTTCTTGTTATACAGGTCTTGCTTTACCTTGGTCTAACCATCCAGCAGAAACGTATAAAAACAAGGTACATAAAGTAAAGCCATATTAATATGCTGAGCTGTGAAAGGCTCAAGTCAACAACTTCTGCGGACAACCCACTACTATTGTGGGCTGCTGGACTGTGCTGGGTTGCTTTGCTGAATTCACGCACCTATAGTATTTAGATGCCAATGGAATGCCCACCTCTGATAGGACTAAACAAAAAAAGGAGATAAAAAGGAAGGACCATTTTGTATTTGTATATGCAGAATAGTTAGGGCAGATATACAGCTCCTTTCGCTTAATTCAATGAGAAGAAAGATTTGTACTGATAGTGTTTGGACAGGATATCCTGTCTGCATCTTGTACTGTGGATAACCACTAAGATAACAATGTACAATGTATTAATTATTGAAATTGTCCTATTAATCAGTTTTGACACTGTTTGCTATTTGTTTCTCAATAAAATTTAAAAAAAAGAAAAAAAGAAAACCTTACAGTATGTGCTTTTTACCTGAATTATAAGATTTATCCTTTAATAAATATTTACGGCCAGGTGTGGGAATGTACAGCTGTGATCCCAGCACTCAGGAGGCTGAGGCAAGCGGATCGCATCAAGTTCAAGGCCAATCTGGGCTACACAATGAGTTCAAGATTACTTTATGTTGAGTCTGGTGTTATGGCAGCCAGCACCTAAGCTGGAGTCCACAGGGTCACTTGTGAGCTGTGTGTGGCTTTAGGGTGAGCTTTTTACATCTCTGCACTTTTTTAAATTTGTAGAATGAATATAGTTGTCTCCTGCTTTCAACAGACCACAAAATAATGCACGTAACAAAATTAAAATCATAAGATGACAAATATCAATAACTGTATCGAAGGGGCCAGGGAGATGGCTCAGTGGAATAAGCGCTTCCCTGGCAAGCACAAGGGTCTGAGTTCAATCCCCAGTTCCGCCAAAAAAATAAAATAAAATAAAAACTGTATTGATCAGGATCCTTCTTGGGGTCTTAGAATCAGTCTTTGCTGTTCCCCAAGTCAACAGTGACTATGACCACTGCTCCGTATGTCCAGTGATCCACGGCAGACGGGATGATATCAGCTCAGCAGTGTGCTTGCTTAGCATTCAGGACTTGAGGTAGCCCTCAACCAGTGGCCTCCTATGCCTTAGGTCTGTCACGGAACTATCCTACATCAGCAGGACTGATCTCTCCCAAGGATCCTGACCAAGTAGAGAAGGTACTGGGATAGTGGAGACTGCTTTAGGCTTCCTGAAATTACACTGATACAAAGGTCTTCTTCTTGTTTATAAAACTAAATGTAAGCTGGGCAGCAGTGCACACCAGCAACCCCAGCACTTGTGAGGCTGAGGCAGGAGGATCCCCACCCAGGCCAGCCAGGGCTCCATTCAAAGCCAGCATGAGCTACATCGTAAGACCCTGTCTCCAAAACAAAGCTAAATTTCCAGCTTATAAGTTATAATCATGGCATACTGTTACCATCCCTTAATATTAGAATTCTTGTTTGAAGCCTTCCAGGCTGGGTAATTAAGTCATTAATGCTTCGTAAATAGGTAAAGTCACTTCTTTTCATCTCCCAGTTTTTGATCCCAAAATTAATTAATTATAAGGTTGCAAAGAATGAAAGGCTGTCAAAAATTTTGAAAATTGTATTCTTATACAGAATTGTTCAAAACTTGTCCTTGAGAATCTGAAGGCGATGTCTGAAGAAGAGTTCAAGGTCAGCCTCGCCCAGTCACTGGCAGCTGGAATACCCATCTCTGACTGGACTAAACCTTGGGAGAAGTGTTTCCCCCACGACTTCTGGAATCCACTTGAACACCGGGATATTTTGAGTAACCTATATGTCTTTCACCTCCTACAGGGCTGTCACCCCAACAGGGTCCCTTATATGAGGCCAGAAGCAAAATATTCCTTCCTCTCTGTGGGGAGAGGCAACTGGGGCGTGTGCATGGCTGGCTTCCCAGCAGGGTCCATCACAGCCACCATTTCCCCCCCCCCCCCCCCCCCCACACACACACAGAGCTGCTCATAATATCAGAATATACGGTCTCTACAGCTGGCCTCTGCCTCAGAAGAGACAAAACCCAACGCTGCCCCGTGAGGGCACATGAGACGACCAGTGAGCTGGAGGGGCTCCTTGGAAGGTCTCCCGGCCTGCCTCCAGCAACCCACATGAATCACAGCTGGGCACCTTATTCATTCCATGAGCACTGGAGAGGGATGGCTCATGCAGCTATAGGTCACAGCTTTTTAGTGAGTTGCAGGAAAACATCCAAGATTTACCAACATGACAAGAAATATCAGGACATGAGGTTTCATTTTATAATAGAAATGTAGTAAGTAAAGAAGGGTCCCAACTGTTAAAAAATATGTCAGGGGGTGCCAAAGCATAAGCAAATATTCATTTATATATTGCTTTCCTTTTTAATAATTAAACCTTTTATAACAACTCTATTAGCTGGGGCCATAGGAACAATCACACTGACTATAATAGCTTCTGATAATAAAGGGTCTTAAATCCCCTATGACTCTTAGAGCAAATCATTTCAAAATGATATAAATCAGAAACTTAAACACTGAAAGAAATAAGAATTTTTTTGAGTTGGTCTACTTTTAGGCTAACAAACACTATCATTAAGCTATCATAGAGCCTAACTTCACACTCTACCACTAGGAAGTACGAAAAATTGTATCACCTTTGTTTTTACTATTATTTTTTTTGTGGCCAGCTCAGCCCGCCCTGGGGGCAGGGCTGGAGTGGCATGTGGTGCCAGGGATTGAACCACGGTCCCTGCATGCTTGCCTAAGCTTGCCTAAGCAGGTGCCTTGGACCACTCAGTTATCTCTCCGGCCCTTGAACCATCTTTAGACAGGGAGTTTCATGAGCATTAGGATTTTTATTTTAAACGTTTATTTCCCCTTAATGTATGCTCATTAAATAAAATATAGAAAATCTGGAAAAAGTAACTATGTTTCTATTAACCAAGGAACTAGAACAACCTGCTTTGGTAGAACAAATGTTATAGTGAAAATTCAAACAGAAAAACATAACATAACCAACAAAATAGTTAAAGATCATCTTACCATCTGTGCTTAAAATAGGTCTTTTCATTTCAGACTTGTTTACACTCGCAGTGTAAACATAATGTTGTTCTGCCATAAACGCCGAACAACTGCCTGCTCGGCTCTAAGGGGCACTGAATACAAACCGGGGCAGCTGACCTTCAGCGTGTCTCTGTTGGCTTCGGGCAGGAGGATGACCAGCAGGTTCAAGGCCTGCAGCTGCTGCTTCTTGGTTGGAAGATCTGCAGACAGAGTAGACAATTCACGTGAACTCCTGTCTGTATGGAACATCTCCCCGTACTTTCTGTTTCGCAGTTTCCAAGAAGAAGTTACTTGGCATAGACACTGCAGTAAAATGTAAGACACAAAGCCCGAGCCCGAGCCCGAGCAGCGCGCCTCGTCGGCGAGTGTTTGCAGGAGATCAGTGGAGCAGCTGCTCGGCGCTTCCTGTCTCTCGGATGCTCACTTCCAACTGTGACAGGATGACAGGTGGCCGTATGTTTGCAGACGCACACAGAGCTTCGGAAATCATCTTAACTTCTGCGTGGTCATGACTCCCCGGTGGGAAGACACACGAGACTGGACCTTCCACGAGAGAGGAGCAGGGTGCCACCTACACAGTGCAGTTTCTTTCTTTTAGTGGCAAGCAAATAGATTTTGGAAGAGGCCATTACTTCCAAGAGTGATAAGTGAAGCTGGTGTGGAATATGTAGGTGCTCACCACCACCCCGGATGGATCAGAAAGCCCAGTAGTGACCACAGAGTCTGCCCTGTGTATTATCAGCAGCACACTACTGGCCTCAAACAAAATAATAAAACTATCAATACTGTTGAGTCAGGGATTTTTGTATTCTAAATTAATCTGTTAAGAAAAAACAGTTAACAGCACATTTCACGCCTTCCTCAGAAATCTTGAAGGAATGATACAAGATGCCCCACAGAGTCATCTCTGAAGGGATTTAAGAATAGCCTGTCACAGCTCTGACCAACAATGTCATTATGAAGAGCATCCCTTTTTCACTCTCAAGAATGTTTCAGGGTGGAAGCTGAAGACATGGTTATTTGAACAAAATGGGAACTTGCTTTCTTTTTTTAATGGCCTCTAGAAAGTGATTTATGTGGCCAGGACATAAACCTTCTAAGATCTCTATGTCCCCTTGAAACACAATGACGACAACTGTGCATACCAATCTGGAGCCTGCCCAGGGCCACAAAATGCTAGCGAACAAGCAGTGCATGGCCCTCCACTGAAGGCACAGCCAAACGCTCTGTCCTAAGCCTCCTGGCAATCCCAGAATTGCATTTTTCAGGAAACGGTCCCAGACTCTCCCCCGACTCCTCGTGCCCTTCGTGATAACGGCTAATCCCCAGCTAGCGTTGCTTTTAATGCTTGGTGAGCAAAGTGGATCCAAGATCTTCTGTGACTCATTCCTTTATGAGGGAGACGTGATGTTTCCAGGTTCTAACTCAAAAATATCCTACATTGCTTATGTGCCTTGCCATGAACCTATACACAAAGAGAACCTTCTGCTCTCTGGCTACGCAGATGTGTGCATTTATAAAAGAAAGGGAGACAGTGCGTGTCACCAGAGTACCCGCTGACACTGCCAGTTTACGTGTCTGTCCAAATCCATCTGGTTGTGCGCCTCGGGCTGCCAAGTGTCACTCAGACAATTAATGCGTGTGGCACTGGCACAAGGGCTGCAGCAAAGAGCGATGGCACTTACTCTGGACGGCCTGGAAGGCTTTGAGATACTCCACGCTAAGCAGCGGCTGAGGCAGCTCGCGGATGAAGAGCTTCAGCAGGCTGGCCGCGTCGTGCTGCTTGACGGTTTCCCAATTAAAAGTCCCTTCATAAAACTTTGCTTCTAATTCTTGGCAAAGATTCTGAAAGGCAAAAGGACAAAAAAAAAAAAAAAATGCTATCAGTATACGCACTTGTCCCCCTGCTGAGAGTGACACATTTCTCACTTTACAGAAATTCTACACTGACAAAATCTTATCCAAGAATCCAGTCATTCCTCAGTTACAAAAAAAAAAAAATAATAATAATAATAACACCCTGATTGTACTTCATCAAGGAGAAATCTTACCTAAGACACACAAAACCAGTTTTTATCTATTCAATGAACTTAAAGGAGTAAACATGCAATGAAAAGATGGGTAAAAGGTTGTTCCATTTGAGGGCTGTGCGTACATTCTAGAATCCTTCAGTCTATTAAAAAAAAAAACTGCTTTTAATTATTAAGAAGTGCATTGAATAACAAAATGGGTCACCAGTCTCAAGCCTAAACCAGATTATGTCTGATTAGGCACCTCTGAGAAATGGAACATCAAATGCCACAGCAAATGAGGAGCAAATACACACCAGTGTCTCCGTCTAAAATGCGCAGCTGGCTGCAGTCACCTCAAGAACAGTTTGAGTTCATGTAGCACTGGAAATACCTAGTTCACTTCCCTCGAAGCCTCCATAAAAGTGCTGCCGGCCGGAGGTACGAATGACTCCGTTTAGTTTCATCATTTCTTTCTGCGTGCTTTTTACTGTGGCATAAATCTCATCACACTGAAAATCCTTCCATGCTATTTCTGTTGTTTGAAAAAACCCCAACCCAGAAGTTCTGGGCAGGGGACTGCTTGATTCCGCATGCTAGGCAAACACTCTCGTGCGGAGCTGCATCCCCAGCCCTTCTTTTCCTTCTAAGGTGAATGTACCACATTTGTCTTTCCTAACCCAAATCTCATTCTCCAGCTTAATTATTTTTGTAACGGGTGAAAAATATGGCCTCAAACCTGGAAATGGGTAGTGGCAAGGAGAAAAAGAGTGAGAAGAAAGTAGAGAGAAAAGGGACGGAAGAGCAGCAGAGAGAGGAGCCAGTGGGGGAGGTGGGAGAGAAGCCCAAAGGAAGGTAGTGGAATCAGGAAGGATGGAGACAACCAGAAAGCGGCTTGTCCTTCAGAGGACTTGTGAGGGAGTGACCACCCACTACACAGCCTGGCGTGCAAATGGGCTGGAAGCGAGATGAACCGGCCCAGGGCAACCACTTCGTGGGCCTCCAGAAAATTTATTTAGTTATCCTCCTGAGGCAGAATAAAATCCACTTTACATTCTCCGTTCTGTACCATCGTGAACATGGTTTGGGCTTCTGTGGATTGACCACCACACCAACCACTGAAGGCCCACGTGGTCTGAGCAGCCAGCTGAGCAACACTCTTCATGTGGCTCTAGTTCAGAAAGTCACATGACCTGTCACCAGAGGGTAGGGAGAAAGGGGGGAAGGAGAAGGGGCGGGGGGAGGGAAGGAAGGGGAAGGGTAGGGGCAAAGAGAGACAGAGACAGAGACAGAGACAGAGACAGAGACAGACAGACAGACAGACAGACAGGCTGCACCTCTCAACCAGCCTCAAAAGTGCCTGCAGTGCCCAGGGGTGGCTGATCAGCTCCCTGTGGGTGTTAGAAGATGCAAGACAACAGCAAATTATGAAACTGACAGACAGCCAAGCAGTGTTGGAAAGCTCTACACAGAGGCCCAAAACCTAGGGACAGGAGCCGAAATGTGCGGAATCAGGTAAGCGGAATCCTCTTAAAAGGAGATCTCTGTGCGGTAAGGGCCAAGCAGACTGCAATGGGTGTCTTGAAGTAAGGACATTTATCAAAATAAGCACGTCAGTCCTGGCCTGCCAGCTCAGCAAGGGCAATTGTGGAAGGAGCCCATGCCAGGCTGCCAGGCCACTTGCCGGCTTGAGTCACAGCGTCCTGTCTGTCTTACACACTTAACCCCTCAATTGCTACTGCCCACCCTGACTGAACCTGCGTCTACGGCCACACTGAGTCCTCCTGTCCCCTTTATCACAGCCTTCTCAGAGGTCATGCAGCGATCCTGAAAAACAGAGACTGACAGAAAAAGAGGATGGGAGAAAAACTAAAGACACACTGAGTGTCACAAAGGTTTCTTCTTTTCTTTTATCCTCTTTGCTACTACAGGAACTAGGGGTCGAGCTAAGATGTTTTACTTTGAAATGCAAACGTGTAAGGAGACTCTGAAAGTGTATGTCAGCAGAGCCAGGGGGTCACAGTACCTTAATTCTAATGGCAGCCCCAGGTATCCGCAAGAGGCCTTCTGTTTCCAAGCCTCCCTCTTCAATCCGAGAAACTAGCTGCGGTGAGAGAAACGTTCTCATGTTGGTATTTGTAGCAGGTACAAGTTAACATCTGTTTCACATTTGAATAAATGAAAGCTGACCACATTGACATCTGAACTGGATTTTACAAGGTTCTGAATTTTTTCTTCAAAACAATAAGTCCAAAAGCTTTAGTTATGATTTAAGGCAAAGTTGGATCTTGTTCTACCTCACAGTAAGACAGTTGCAATCTTCCAGACAGAAAAAGGAGAGGTCCTTTGCTTAAAAGTATCCAAAATCTTCCACTTCCCTGCTTTTCCAGGAAGGTACCTTATACAGCCCAATAAATCTCAAGAAGTTCTTCCACTTGTACATTTACATCTCACTCCTGGGATGTTGTCCCAGGAAAGAATTATTTATGACACGAGGAAAAAAAACTGTTTAATATTCTTTTTTACAGTGAGGGTGGTACTGGGGGGCTGAACTCTGAAACAGAACCCCCAAACTTCTATTCTGAATAGGGTCTCACTCAATCCCCCCCTCTGGGCTTAAACTTCTCCTCCTGTTTCAGCCTCTGACAGCACTGGGATTACAGGTACAAACCACTACACCCAGCTTAATGTTCATTTTCTAGCCTTCAGCAATAAACTTTAAGAAAAATACTCTTGAACAGGGCATTTGTTTAAAAAAAAAAAAAGGAGGGGCCAGGGAGATAGCTCAGTAGAATAAGTGTTTGCCTGGCAAGTGCAGAGTCCCAAGTTCAATCCCCAGTACTGCACCAAAAAAAAAAAAACAAAAACAAAAAAACAAAAATAAAAAAAAAGTAGGGCAATTGTTAAATCATAACTAATGCCTCCTGGCAGGAATCTCTTGAAAATAAAGTTCTCTTTAAATATGTAAGGTAAAAACAATAAGGCAAGGAGGAAATTGTGGTGGCAAACTGTAGGAAACACTCCAGGAGACAAGAGTGCAGTCCACTCCTTAAGAAAGCGGTTGTGCACTTGGAAGATTGGAGCCTACAGTCTCTGGATTGTATCTGAGGAGAGGGGCCATTCCGCTATTTTGAAGGAAACCAGTTTCCTCATCTTAAGTTTAAACCAAGGCGTCTTTTGCCTTGGTTTTGCACACTGGGTCTTTTGCCACCAATTGCACCCCGTACCCAACCACCTTCTAGGCTCCCACACTGGCCGATACGCCCCTCCTCTGTATCTCCTGTAACAGTTTCTGTAACCTTAAGGCACAAAGCCACCCACAGAGCAAAGAAATGTGAAAACTTTTCTTGTCTTCTCTCTCAGGAACTTCTCTTACTGATCAGCAAAAGCTTTGCAAAGCACAGAGCCCTTCCTGGTCTTCCTTGCACATAAACACGCAAGGAGCAGAGCAGGGCACCCTAAAGAGCCTTCGCCTCTTGCACTCGTGGGCCGACCTCAGGTACAGGGCCGCATGGAGAACCTGAAGCCCTGGCTTTATCTTCAGTGACCCTACCTCTTAAATCCTTGCATTAGGTCGTGGCTGAAGATGCGCTCGTAATGAAGGGCTTAGGTAAAAACCAAACAGTCTCAAAATTCTCCTAAGGCCAGGCCTACGATCCCAGCATTCTGGAAGGCTGAGACAGGAGCCTGGGCAGCTAGATGAGAGCCCGGGTCAAAATAAACTTAAAAAGCACCAGGCATACAGCTCAGTGAGTGTGAAGGCTTAAAACCCAGCAATGAGAAAAAGAATCTTGAAAACTTATTACGAGCTGAAACTTCTTGGACCACTAAGTCAGTCAATTAGTTTTTAAAGATTTCGAGGCAAGGGAATATAGCTCAGGAGCATAAGCACCTGCCTGGCAAGCACAAGGTCCCGAGTTCAATTCCCAGTACTAAAAGATAAAAACAAAAACTAAATAAATAAGTAAGTATTAATCACACTTCTCCAATTACACTGGATAAAATCCCACAGCAAAAATAGCATAAATTTTACTTAAATGGGTATTATTTGATAAAGCAGTATTAAAATTAATTTAGAAATACTACTTTATCTCATAAAATGTTTTATCTTATCTTATAAAATGTTTAAATGCTTTTAATAGTCTAGTAAAAACAATAAAATTAGATGGCCCCTGCTGAGGTGAAATTTTTAGTAGCACATGG